TTCCAACAGCAAGGCATTTCCTAAACCGGCAGAACTGGCATCGGTTTCTGTTTAAACGATGTATGTGACATTTTCCGTCTCGCAAACATCGATATTCCATTTGTTTTTGAATACTGCGCCGAAAAAAACCCTAAATGAATTAGTCCTAAACAAATTAATCATTAATACCACAAATGCATTGCTTTGAATTTTTTCAGAGTCTTAAAGTTTTATTACAAAATAACTCCACCAACAGCTTCTGATCCGTATTTATACAGCAAATTTTGCTGTGTCTACAGAAAACAGCAGCATAACTACGATGCATTAATTCTAGCTATTATATTTTATAGGAAGCATAAGATAACTGTTTGAAGATATTACTATTGCGCGATTTGATTACTATATGATAAGAAAAATGGGACTTGTTCTGAAAACATTGATAACAGCGACGAAAATGAAGATATAAATACAGAAGGGAATTTTTAATTGTAAAGCACCTTTAATTTCAACAACAGTTGACACAATAAAGTCAGCTGTCTAATCACTAGTCAAGTATTGGTACTAGCAAGTATTTTTACTCATACCATCCTCAGTCAGAAGATGTCAGGCTAATCGGTCTTACATCATCTTACATTAATATTCTCTTACAATCAGAACGATGAATGTAATTAACAAGAATATTTTTCCACGTAGCATTGACTAATTCTTCTTAAATTTTCCGGAATTTCAAAAGATCAAAAAAAAAAATTTTTTTTTGAGCTTTGGATATCTTGAAATAGGAGTGAGAGTAAATGTCACCATTTCACATTCTTATTGTAAATTCATCGACACTGAAGAAAAATAAGAAATGAAAAGTGTTACCTTACATCCTTCACAGGCTGTAACTCCATAATGAAAGCCACTCGATTTGTCACCACATACCTTGCATAATGCCGGCTTGTTATCTGTTGAACTGTCTGGATAAAGCTCTAAAATCAGATTTCAGTAGGTTGCAGTTTGTTCTTTAAAGTTCAGAGCACATTTTATGCATGAAAATGAATGGAAAATCCAAACTAAAGTTATACTAACTTGTGCAGTTAATCATCAATTGTGGATTGAAGAAAATACTTTAATGAGAACTGGTAAAGTAGTATATAAATAAGTTTTGTTCACCAAAACAATGCAAATGTTTTCAGCGGCAACCTCAACGTGAAATACACTGCATCTGATCGTCGAATTATTTCAATTATTATGCAGACATGCATCCCTCAAAATTAAAAATTTGTTAAAATTTTACCTTATGTGCAAATTCGAAATTTCCTTCTCACTCAAGATTTCTCATTTCTTGAGAATGTCAAATAAGGCCGGAAATAAATGAAATGTACTACACGCAGGGAAAGTGAAGGTAATAAATTAGAACTTTCCATCTGATAAAGATATATTTTCATTTTTGAAGATTAATGAATTAAAACTTTGTTCGCCCTCGTCAAATACCAGAAATGCGACAAATGAATAAAAGAAGTGGGATTGTTCCTTAATAGGGCGTGCAAATATTTGACAAAAAAGCGAAAATTCCAAAAAGAAGTATAACAATCTTCTTTGCGAATTCATTTCACACTTTTTTTCAATGATAAAAATTTATTCAAATAACACTATCCACAAAAATTAATGGGTACAAATAACAGCTATTTTCAAAAAAAAAACTGTCCAAAGCTGCTATAGTATTGCAAATCTAAATGAAATCCAAATGAAAGACAAAAGTGTCTATAAAAATCGGTGATATGAGCATTTTTTTTTCCTACAGCAGCTTTGAATAGTATTGTCCTTTTTTGTTTCCTTTAAGTAGCTCTTTTATCCAATTTATTTCTCTCAAAAATACTTCCGTAAGAAAAGAAGTAGAAATTATGGTAAACTTACCAGTAAGTTCAGATACTTCTTTTTTGAAAATGAAAACTAAACTAACACGGCAATTACATTTTTAAAATAATAGTTTAGGTGAAATTTGCCAAAAAAAAACTTCGCTATGATGTACCACAAGTATGTACTACAGGGTGCATTTCTCCACTGCCTGTGAATGATAGGGTACGTCACATATTTCGATACATGCAGTGCAAAACAAAAGACAAATAGCAGTAAATGTACTCATTTTTATGGAACTTGAAAAATTAAAATAAAAAATTTCTGAAAAATCGAGAAATGCTCTAACCATCTGTAGCACGTGGAGCTAAACGTGATTGCCCATTGTTGGCTGATTCGTTACCGTAATAAGATCTATCACAGTAACGTACATCAGGCATGCGTGTTTGTTGTGGATACGACTGCACCCCATTATATTTCCCAGACGAGATGACGTAACCATTAGTTGAATTCGTTGTTTCATTCTGCGGTATTACTGCAGATCTAGTATCCGGTTGCTGAAAGTTCGAGGTTGGTATAAATTCAAGTTGTGGAAAGGTTCCTGACGATCCGTTCCAATTGTTCTGGATGATATCTACTGGACATTGTGGTGTTGCGTTATATGGCACAGATGCAGCAGTTGGCTCAGGAATTACTGATGTTGATGATTTTCTCGCCGGTAAAAAAACTGACTCCGTTGATGCTTTATTCGAGGGAACGGACCTTCTTGGTGCTGACGTTACAAAACTCATCGTTGCAATCTGAACAAATGAGCTGATATTTCAGTTAAACAGATTGATGATACTGGTAAATTTGAGAGTCGAGTGAATGATCAGAATGCTCGCAAAATAGGGACTGAACTAAGTTCAGTTCGAGAAAGCAGCAATAGGGAACAAGGAAATGCTACGGTATCAGATAACTTTATTTATATGAGTCTTAATGGAATACATAAAAAGCGATTAAAAGGAAGGGATGTGTTTCGGTCTAGAAATTTACAGTTTGAGATTACTGCCATTCCCAAAAGTTGCTTCAAAGTTCACATTTCATTTTCTTCACCTTAACTCTCTCTCTCTCTTTCCCTGTCTCTAGCGGTATCTCTCAGAAGTATACAACTGCTACCAGAATATCATCTCAAATCCCCCCAAAAAAAGAAAAAAAACCAACCAAAAGAAGTAAAAATGAACAGAAATTCCTACTGGATGATAAATCGCCAGTCTTCAATGTATCAACCGTAAATGGAATGACAAGCTTCCCTTAGATACAGCACCACTAAGCTGGACTCTTCCTATCACATATGCATCACTCAAGTCAAAGTACCACAGTTACAACTATTATCGCTCACACAGTTCACGTGGTCACTGTCTCTCACCATCCAACGTTGTGACCATTAGTAGTCATTTTATTCAGCGTGTACCATAGTGGTCAGGGTATAATAAAACAGATGGAGAGAGGCGAGACATTTATGATGAACAGAGGAGGGGGAGGGGGAAAGGTTGAAAGAGTGAAATAGACAAGTCAGTGAATAAAGAACAATATGAGCATAGGTCAGAGGTCATCAGCTAACGAGACACATAGGTATTCGTTGTATATTGTACTGTGCCTACCACTACATTCACCGAAACAGTTGAATGTATGATGAAATAGAAAAATGGGGGTAAATATAACGACTAAAAGTCACCCCTCAAGAAGATTGTTTCTGCGCGAGAGTCTCATCTACAAGATCAACTGATGAAGTTTTAAAAATGCACCTTCCAAGCAGCCAGGAATTGATAATACTTGGTCTACTATGAGGAACCATTTTTATCAGTAAGTTGAAAATGCTCTTTTCTTATAAGCTATTCATGAATTGATAATAAGAGGTACTCGTGATCACTTTTCTCTATCAATGACAACAGAAATCAACACTATGACAATCTTTAGAAAACTTTCAATGGCGTTTTTACATCTAAGAAGTTCTGAAATGTCATTTCAAAACTTCGTCGATACGCTGCTGTTATGACGAAGGGCAAAAAATTTGCACAACTTTGTAAGCAGCATTTTAAGAGGCATCGATTTGAATGTGCTACCCTACCTGTATTAAAAACAATGTTGATATATTTGGAAAAATTAAAATTAACTTCACGCTTACACCTAACTCAAATTAGATGAACAAGCGGGCAAGTAAATTAAATTTAAAGAAAGTTCAAGAAAAAAGAAATTAAAAACATCGTGCACAGACTATAATACATTGTCATCTATAATATTTGGACAGCGACTAAGTTACATCATCAGCCAGTTTCTCACAAATGCAGTTTATCGCCATTAAAAAATGGACAAATGTCGACGTAAAGCTTATCAGTTAATGGAATAGTGCTTCCGCACCTAAAAGACTGCTTAAAAAAATCCATTATTTAACCGAAACATATACAATTTAGGAAATGGCTAGTTACCATGACTGGAGTAACATACGCAAGCCACACCACAAATTCGAAAGAGTGAGCGCAATCTTCATTTTTAAAGATTCTGCTTCAAACTGAGCTTGGATTTTACTGCTGTATCAGCATTACAACCCAAACCATAACGGAAAAAAGCTAATTAATGAAGATCTCTCAATACAATTCTATCATTATCGCATTGCCCAATACTACATCACCACTGCAACTATTTAATTTGTATTACACGAGATCAAAAAAACCGATTTGCCGCCTTCCTAAAATCCGGAATAGCGGTAGAGAAACCGTCTCAAGTATACAAAGGTGATAATGCAATCGTTTAAATAAAGGGCGTTATTCTGTGGATTACCTAGGGCTAATGTCAATGTAAATTTTGAAGAGGCAAAAAAATTGACCAGTGTATGAAACAAACTGAAAAATTTTTTAATAATCGGCGCCAGTTCTACACAATCGTTCGGTATAATTTCATGTTAATTACATATAAATAATACACAATGCAAAATAGATAAGAAATGGAAATCGAGCAACTACAAATATATTTTCCCTTCTAAAGTCCATTTCCCTTCAGAAGACCAGTGAATCAGTTAAGAATTCAAATGAATGCCTTCACTTAATTTTCCCTCACCGACATTAAATATATTGTCATATACATATACATATTGACAGAACAGATACTCGTAATAAATCACTTAAGTTTTTTCCAAAAATAAAAAATCAGGATGAGAAAATTGGTGGAGGAATAGTGAGCGCAATTGCTTCCCATTCCACCGGAAAGAAGCAAAGTGCCGCCATTACAGCACTCACAGCAAGTATCAACAGTTGCCAGTGCAAGAGCAAAACAGATCCATAAAAGAAACTCAGCGAAGCCGCAAATGCCTGCAAAAAATCAAATGGAATATCATTTGTCGAAGCAAATTTAACAACAAATTAATGAGATTTCAAAATTCTCCCCTAAAAAGTAGAACGAATCTATGAAACAGCTCACCATACCTAAAAAAGACTGTATGTCAATTTGTTAATACAAAACTTGTCAACTAAAGTAACGGCATATAACCGTCAGTGACACTGCAGTTGTTTTCCTCATCCTAAGAATGATAATTATGTGTTCATCAAAAGGATGAAAACACTTGTTAAAACAGCTATGGTCAAAAGATCCTACAAAAAGTAAGACAACGCAATCCTGACATGAACCATTAACGCAATTCGATGCAGAGCATCGTTCTGTTGAATAAGAAATACATCATGAGATGTGAGAAGAAATAGAACTTCAAACTAAAATTATTCCATCAATTTTTTCCTCTACTGATGTTAAGCAGAGCTAATAAGTTCAAATAATTGTTATAACAATTCTTGCCTTCAAAAAGAAAATAAAACAGAACAGCTGGTCTTTTTCTCATTTAAAATTAAATGAGAGCAATGAATGAAACTCGATGAACCTTTAGTATCACATGATCATTTCAACACAGTACTGATTCTTTAAGGTCATACGAAAAATCTGAGCTTATTTTTTCAGTCAAATTAAAATCATGAACATACGCATTAAATTTTATCCCGCATTATGCTGTAAACCTTTAGTAGGAGTCCATCTTGATAAAGTTTTCGAGACATTTATGATACCTGGTAAAATTTGAAGAGCGCAAATGCATTAGAACTGTTGATGGTATAAAGAGAGCTAAGAAGTGAATAAATCTGTGTACTCCAACAACTATCAGCAAAACCAAGCATAAAACCACAAATCAAGGTTAATGAATAGCTGAAACTGAATAAAAGTAAGCTTATTTTGTGCATAAGACTGACTGTACTTAATTTACAGCTTACTCATATCCGACTAGTCTATGCACCGTACGATAATTGTGGATGTGATACAAAAATTCACAGAGAGCAGGACCAGTACAGAATGTCAAGAAACTTCCGCTATGGAAATCTATTATTTCTCTGAAGGAGATTAAAATTATATGAATTATGAACTTAATAAATGAACAGAATAATTACTAAAGTAAATTCAATTCCTAAAGTACTACGAAATAAATTATCTCTAGCAAAATCTTTACAACTTACTTTGGTTCAATGTAACCTTCCGAATATGTTATATGCAACGGTGCCTCCATCGGAACGTTCAAGAAAATAAAAAAGAAGGTCAACAGATGAACAACAGTACCCAAAAGGATTATTGGATTGCGACCATAAGCAACCGATTTATTTGCGAAAACACCAAACGCAAGACCACCTGTGAATCGTAAAAATAAAATTTTACGAAAAAAGAACACTGAGGTATTTTTGCCAAACTTCTATCTACCAACATGAAGCAAACCTGAGCCTTACCAACAACTTGTCCTCCTCCAACAGCAAGAGTGTTGTAGGCAATGATTAATCCATTATCTCTCAACCGTCCAAATGATGCAAGGCATGCTGAATAAATACCAGTGTAAAATGTCATTTCTATACCCGTATACATAAACACCACGGCAAGCAGCAACATTCGTCGAGTAACCGCCACACGAAGTGTATTGTCTTAAACACTACAAAATAAATTAAAAGTGCAAGCATCTTTATGACTGCAAATCAAGCTGATTTTATAGACTCGCCCCAACATTTTCAAGCCTGAAAATTTTGAAATCTTGAGGATGTGGAACTTCTGTTAAAACAAGCAGTAAGTACTTCAAGGACGCCATCGACGAGCGAATGTCAGCTTCCAACATCATTACCATACAACACTTTCTTTTTTTATGCTTTAGGGATTAAAAAAATGTAACTAACGGAATTCGTCTTTCCATAGAACAACAGTATGCGGTGTTACTGTACCACGTACTGATCGCGTTTCAAAATTAATTCGACCATTAACAATACTAACGTTGTTTTCCTCTTCCACTACACCTTCATCTCTCTCTCCATCAGAATGTCCAGTAGAACATGCCATTCCACCAGGTTTCGTCGGTAGCAGTGCTAATATTATAACACCAATAAAAGTAACCGTAGAAAATACTGCATAAATTAAGCTCACCGAAGAAACGATAGAACTGCAAATAATTTTGTTACGAAACAGATACTCAACTATTCATATAACTGAAACTATATTCACCACTTATTGATTTCCAGTACTGTTGTAAATAATGCGTTTGAACGATAGACCAATCCGTGATCGTTGTGAGATATGCATATTATCTGATCTTAACTGTACTGATTTCACTCAAAACATTCATTAAAACAGTGAAAGAAAGTCAAACAGAAACTGAGAGCAATCTAAAGTACCAACCCCGAAAAAGAGATGAAAAATAGGAAGAGACCACCAAAAATGAAACATGATTGTAGCGTAGCCCAAAGAATACCACTGTTACGTGCAACAGTATCAATTCGTGACCACGTTGTGAGATAGACCCCTTGCCCAGTCCATAGCACTAAAAATATTTATCACTGATGAACTAGTCTGAAAAACTGAACAGAAGAAATTTCCTAAAATATGGTCCTACGCAACTGATTCCAAATTCAACACGAAACTACTATCAGTTTCATGAGTAACTTACTTGCAGCGCCAAAACCTGTGAGTGCCGAAAATATATAAAGAAAATACATATTCAGATATATGAAACCAAGCATAAAGATACAATATGCCAAAGCTCCAAAAATCATTGCCCATTTCGAACTTATAACATTTATTATAGCAGGTGCAAGCAAATTTGAAAATGTAAAAGTCAGGTAAATGATAGCCAAGCTAAAAAGTACATCAGTTTATATAGGAAAACAAATCTATATTCATGAAATCAATATTTCTTATTTATTTGACTGAAGACATCCAACTCATGTTACCGGTAGCGGTTTGAATGATAATAGTAGTTCATGCCACTACTGACACGCAACTAAGTGATAACTACGAGAAAGTAACACATATGTAGCTGAGCTACAACTAGATGCTAACGAAACACGAATAGTACTGATAGTAAAACACTGAAAGCACCGACGACCTGGACAGAGGAAGAAGCACAAAGTATACCTATAATAACCGGATTGTTCGGTTATACCTGAAGCCGGATGTTTTTCAGCAGCATTTTTGATAACAGCAATCTGAAATTGAAGAAAGGATTAAAGCAAAGAGAATTTCTTCATGAGAAAGGAAAAATACACAGAAAGAAAATACATGCAAATAACTGCTGTTTTTGATAAAAGCAAAGATTTACTAACTTCAATCATTCCTTGGCTATTGAAGGCTGAAAATATCAACATGAAGCCCAGGCCAAGCTGGATAATACTACGTAAATCCTTCTCAAATCTCATTCGACGTCGTATGGGAGGAAACTTCATACGCGTCTCCTGCAAATCATCATTTGTCGTCAAAAAATTGAATGATGTAATGAAATTTTCCTAGGAATGAGCTCAACTGCTACAACAATTGACCCATCCTAATTCCGAAACCTACCAATACAACACACCTTGAATTTCACATCCCTGTTATCGTAGGGTCCAGACGTCCAGTCGCAAAGTATTGGACGGCCGAATTAGCAGTGCAGCAGGCAGCTGCCTACTTATGGAAGGGAAGAGTGGGTTGAGTGTTGAAGGTTGTAAGGGACTGCTAGGATATCGCTACTCTAAGGTCCAGCATTTTGAGTTCATTAGACATTATGGAGTAGCAGAACACTGTCAACTTTACCCACTTTTTTTTGTTTCTCTAATTTGAATATATGAAAGATTTCCAATCATAAATTATGATATTGCCATTTGATAAGTCTCTATTTTTTTTTTTTTTTGCCTTCATGGCATCAATACTGCTTAGTTAGTTGGTTTGATAGCGAGAAGTGTAATTTATGGAAATTACTAAAAAGAATTTATGGAAATGACCATTTGATGAATGAAACTTCGATCTTATATCGATTTTGTATTAAACCGTTCGCCTTTAATTAGTGATAGTATCTTCATAAATGAACATTCCCTACGTACAGTGAAGAAAATTGGCAGTCAACGTATGACATTCTTTGATATTTGTTGTTAGCAGTACATTTCTTGTACAAGGCCTCATTAAGGTAATGGGACCTGAAATTTATGAGAATAAGAAAAGGAATGCTTTTTTTGGCAAACTGAACTTTGTTGGGGATCAAAGTGAGGCAATAGTTGCCTTTTTAGTCTGCATGTGATTGCTTAATCAAATGCGTGTTGGGGTGAAGTTGAGTCATCCTCGCATTTTTGGCTCTAAAAATGAGAAAACTGCAAGAATTCTGCCATTCATTACGAATTATTTGGTGATTTTTCATACACCAAAAGGATCTATCAATCATTTGCAGTTTAAAAATTGTGTTGTAGCAACTCGGCAGTGAAAGGACTGATTTGTAAGTGGGAAGAGAAGGGACAGGGACATACTTACGTAATCTGATGATTTTTCAACATTCTGGAAAAGCGTATATCAATTACTGAAGCACTCCATTCATTAACGAATTAATATGAATAAAAAAAATATCAAAGAGAGTCAGGATTGAAACGTACAGACATTTTTGTCACATGTGTTTATTGTTATTCTGTAATAGTAAATAACACAGCTAAGAGTTTCCGCCTAATGTTCTGCCACACATGCCTGATGAATTGAGTAAGGCAAAACAACACCTTTACAATCAAATGAGTTCTATGGAAACCTCCAACTTGTCAGCAACTAGCAAGAAAAGATATCATATCTGTCGAGTTGTAAACAGTGCAAGGATGGTGATTGCTTGGCCAAACCTAATAAAAATAAAAATATGCACTGTTCGTCCTATTATTCTGCCACACATGCTTAAATTTTGATACTTTCTTAATACTGAAATTTGTATTGGCTTGCATCAGTTATCAATTGCCATATATTAAACGGGATGTAAGTTTATGTCTGCTTTCGAAATGTATTCACTTTATGATTTTTGAAGTTATATTGTATGAAAAACTATTCTTATGCCCATTCTTTCTTCATTATTTTTGAATTATATTGTCGATAAAGTTCAAATTCTTTTCTTTCATTGATCAAAATTTTAACAGAATCCTGTGATTTCTAAAACACTAATTTCAAATTCATTCATTAGAGGGCATAGGCTAATAAGTTATGCAAATAACTTCCGGAATTATTTTTAATTTAACTGGTATAAAAACTTTATTTTTATTTTCTACAGCAGTTATCTGAATTGTCGCGACGTTATCTATTAGTCGTGGTTGTGCCTTATAATGACTACAGTGACAGGGTCTAAATTTTCAACGGTGTCTAGTGAAAAAAATGAACGCCAATGCATGAGTAGCGTTATTAGATTGTAAGTTGACAACAAGAACTCTACCAGTTCTATCATCCTATTGGAAAAAATTATCGTTTTGTACTGATCTTTTCAATGCATTTTCGTTTTGCGTAAAATAATGATAACAGGATTCCATAGCGATACATATATCCATCTAGGTATCCTTTGACTAATTACTCTGTACAAAACAATGATTATGAGGATCCTCCACAAATATTCGATTATAAGCAATCTTTGAAACTGCGACAACAATATGAAAATAATGGTATGATTCGCACGGTGCAAGGTGTTCTACTAGGTCATCAAAATTCTATCATTCACGTGTTGCTCTTAAAAAATGGAGTTGGTCAGATACAGTCGTCGAAGTTGTATGTTTTCCTTTTTCCTACAACAGTACATAGACTTTGAGTTCAACAAATTAACTGCGGACTAATGGCTTTGTACAACTAAGCATCTGAAAAAAAAATTGATTCAACGCGATTCACGTATAGTGCATTTACTTGTAGACCTGAGGTGACACTGTATAACAGTGAAGATGAAATCGATGGAATGAAACGACTGATGGCTGAGGTACAAATAAGTTTACTTGTTATTAAAGCTCTAGTACGTCGTGGTAGATGTTGGTAGATCTACTTTTCCAGGTTATGGGATTTAAAGATACTGCAGAAGCAGTTTGCCAAATACAACATGTTGCCGCAAAATGGTGGCGTCCCAATTTTGAAGAATCCATTGTAGGTCACTTCCCGAGAACTTGTATCATAAAATGACAGTAAATGAAGTGTAAAATAAAATCTAAAGTTGTCCACTTGCTGACCTTTTTTTTTTTTCCTTAATTGAGGATCAATGTTATAGTTCAATAGTGGAGATGTTACAGCCATCTAATTTTAAGAATCTTTTTGAGAAGGAGAAAGATTTTAAGAAAATGATGATGTAATTAAAGCTGTTTAGTATCCTTATATTCCTTCACATATCACTAAACCAAAAGAGATGATAAAAGTGTTCGTCGTGGAGCTTCCTAAGCAAACAACATTCACAATTGCGAAAAACAATGCATTGGTAGCAGCTCCTGTTTTTGAAATCTACAATAATATAAGTAATTATGGACATATTATTGCAAGTCTGCCACATGTTCTTGGCCGGTTAGCTCTTCCTTTAATTCTATTCTCTTTCTAGACTAAATTGGACATTAATAGATTTGGTAAAATGATCATGATGACTTTTCAAAATGTTTCAATTCTAGATTTAACTACCTCTACTATCCCTGAAGTTGGTTTTAACAACAAATCATCGATGTCGAAGAAATATGTGATTACAAGAACAGTGAGCAACTAAAATCTTTTTATCTACATTTTATAGTTATCATTCTAAATATCTTTTTTATACATTATTTTACAAAATCATCCAATTTCCTTAAAAGTCTTATTTGCAAGTCCATACTTTATTGGTATTTTTAAAATTTATCAGTGAAAAATTAGTGATTTTCTAGTAATGTTCTATGATAATTGTTATGGATTAATTTCAATTTATTGTGTGTATATGATAATCCATTTTTAAATTAAACCACACTCTGCAGCATAAATTTTTTTTTTTCTAATTTCTTGTATTTTCTTTTTTGCTAATCGTCGCTAGTGATACTTACTACCAGAATCTAATAATTATACTGCGCTCGACAAATTTGTGAATCAACGGTTTAAACTTGATTTGTATTATTTCCGTTTTCTCAGTAGTGATTACTTAACCGAATATTTTTCCTGTCATTGCGTGCAGAAAACAGAAGAAAAAATTAACATCAAGCAACATCACATTCCATTAATCAGTCATGGATATTGTTAAAGATATACTGATGACATTTTCCAATAAAAAAGTGGGTGCATAGAGATAACTATTATGATACTATCATTCAGTAAATTATGCCCAATAGTGAACCGTTAACTGGAAAGCACACTTCTGTTATACTTCGTAACTGATGTCTTCTCAATGAATTATATTGACAGTGTATGCAAATAAAATGAGCATTTTGGTTGAATCTCGATTAGCCTTTAAACATCAGAGGTTATGATCTTCACCTATCTAAGATCAAAATGGTAAGTTAAAAAAAAAGTCAGTTTTTAAGTATCCATTAAGTATCAATATTTGATATTACCTCAAATTCTTCTAATTTTGATTCAACCTTAATCAATTTTAAAATAAAATTTTAAAAAAAATTCAAAATTTGCATGTTTAGAGCCTTGTTATTTCTAGCAAAGTGTGTGATGTCTTTTTACTACATTCTTGGTTTAATTACTGTTCTCTTCAACAACTATAAATTATTATTCTGGTTGACTTCCTGAAAAATCTTTCGCCTGGATGTTAATAAGAGTAGTGGTTTAGTGGTTTAGAATTTTGGTCAGTCAATTTGGTAACAAAATTTGAAAAGCTCAAAGTGATTGTTACACAAAAAAGTATCCAGATCCCATTTGTTTGGTACATTACACTTAAAAACTATAATGAACAGTAAATTACTATTAAATAAACTTAAAATAATAATATTATCTTAACGCAACCAAAAGGTAAACATGAAGAAAAAAACTTGTAGATTTTCAGAGGATTCAGTTTTCAACTTTCTAAATATGTGAATTTCTCGGACCTGCGGAAGAATCTTATAAATTTTTTCAAATTCGGAAAAATTCAGAGTTATTTTGCAACTACATATGACTACATAAGCCTCAATTTAACTAAGCATGAATTCATCATTTCAGATAATTAAATTTTCATCAGGTGACTGGACAAAAGGCTGAAGCAGAATGCTGATTGAGCAAAATGGTACTGTTCGTAACAAAGCACTGGTAACGGCAGCATATAATTCATTATCATATCTTTGCCGTTTGGTTCTACCAGCAATTAACGATCGCATTTTCTTTTAATTGTAGTTAAAAAGCAACATTTTGAAATGATATACTTCTTACATGTATTTTGTTTGATTTCACAAACAATTTGGGTACCATTATTTAGCTTATTTGGTGTAATTCAAAGCTGACCGATGGATAATATCCCTAACGAGGTTCATTTTTCATACTTTCT